TACTGAAAAATAAACTTTACAATGATGGTGTTTTAAAAATGTTTTTATGCTTTCTTGTCCTGCCTTTGTTGCCATATTGGCTGCATTTATACCTGTGTTAGCACCAGCTGCTTATCTCTAAACTTTTGCTGGAGCTCTAAGAGTACCTCACTGATTTCTCTTTATCTTATTGCAGGTCGAACTTCATGTCCACCTGGATGGAGCCATTAGACCAGAAACAATCTTGCACTTTGGGAGGTGAGTTAGGGGGGAGAAAGCTCTGGGAGCTGCAGTCCAAAAGCATCAGCCCCTACTCCCCTGCCTCCTGCTTGTCTAGTTCTCCGACAGAAGAGCTTGTGCTGGCAGGCTGGGAAAGCTCTCTCCCTTGCTGCGCAGGCAGCAATCCTGGCTGGTGCTGGTCTCACTTCTGTGCAGACGGGTGCCCTGGCTGCATGGGGTGAGGATATTGAGCACATCCCAAAAGGTGATACTGCAGCGGGGCTGCACTGGCAGCAGGAGCATGAGCGAGATGGTCATCGGTCCCAGGGGCCAGGCGAGCTGAGAGGAGCCACTGTGAGAAAAGTACAGAAGGTGTCTCATAAACAGAGCTGTCTGCCTTTGAAGTGTACCTGGGAAATGGCAGAGTCGGTGTATTCTTGTTTCTTTTTCCACGTTCCTAATTGCAAAAGCAAGCTAAATGAAAGCAGGCTGGGAGCATCTGCTCGATGGGGGTGCTGTACCACAGTCTTGGGAGGAAAAACCAGCTTGGGTGCTTCTCCCTGCCCTGCTGCTGCCTGCCTTTGAACCCGACTGTCTGTCTGGTGCAAGCCGTCGCGGAGTCGTGCATGTGTGAGGGTGACCTGGGGAAGCCCTTGGCAGTGACTGGCAGAGGTGGTTTCCTTGACAGAGCCCACGTGCATCTTCTAGCTTCAGTGTAGCTTGTGTGGGAAGCACCGGGGCGAATGATTAACTGGTGCGAGGGCTTGGCTCCACGCTGGTAAGCAAAATAAACTTCAGACTCCTTCCAGCTGTCGCTATTCAGAAAGCTAATGAAGACTAGCAGATACGTTGACGTCAACGGTGGACAGAGGGAAACCAATGGATGTCATCTATCTGGACTTCTGCAAGGCCTTTGACACGGTCCCCCACAACATCCTTCTCTCTAAATTGGAGAGCTATGGATTTGATGGGTGGACTGTTCGGTGGATAAGGAACTGGCTGGATGGTCGCATCCAGAGGGTAGTGGTCAATGGCTCGATGTCCGGATGGAGACCGGTGACGAGTGGTGTCCCTCAGGGGTCCGTACTGGGACCGGTGCTCTTTAACAT